TTTTTGCAGAATAAAGTCTTCTCTCATCACAGAATTTACAGCACAGGACAGACGCCCCCAGCCCCGTTGAGCAGGGGTCTCCTTTGCTCTGGGGGCGGTGGCTGCATTCCGGTCAGTGTTCGGACCGCTCCACATTCACCCGCATGCTGTCCACGCCCTCTATGCCCGCCTCCATTTCGTCGCCGTACGTCTCGGGCCCCACGCCGCTAGGCGTCCCCGTCAGGATGAAGTCGCCCTCCTCCAGCGTGATGATCCTGGAGATGTAGCTGATGAGGAAGGGCACGGAGAAGATCATGGCGGCCGTCTCCCCTGCTGCCGGAGCTCGCCGTTGACGCGGAGCCACAGCCGCAGGGCGTGCGGGTCGGGCACGCGCTCGCGGGGCACGAAGGCGCTGACGGGGCAGGAGCCCGAGAAGCCCTTGGCCAGCGTCCAGGGCAGGCCGCGCTCGCGGCAGGCGTCCTGCACGTCGCGGGCGGTCATGTCGAGGCCCAGGGCGTAGCCGGCCACGCAGCGCATGGCGGCGGCCTCGGGCACGGCGCGCGCGCGGCGGCCCAGCACGACGCCCAGCTCCAGCTCGTGGTGCAGGCGGCGGCAGTAGGCGGGCAGGCGCGCCGGCGAGCCCGGGGGCGCGTACGCCGAGGACGGCTTCAGGAAGAGCAGCGGCTCGCGGGGCGGCGCGCCGCGCATCTCCCGGACGTGGTCCGCGTAGTTCCTCCCGACGCAGACGATGTTCTTCCCCCACTCCCAGAAGCGCGACAGCGGCCCGGGGCCCGCCATGGCGCCGCGCCGGTCACGTGCCCGCCGGCCCCGGCGCCCGCCGGCCCCGGCGCCTACGGCAGCCCGCAGAGGAGGCGCCGCGCGGGACGCGCTGCCGGGGACGCTCACGCACGCCGGGGCCGCGGCCGCCGGCCGCTGGCTCGCTGGACGCGGACACTCCGCGGCGTCCCACGACCGCCGCCGACTCCGCCCTCCAGACTCCGCCTCCGCCCTCGCTGATTGGCAGGGGCGGGCCGGGCGGCAAGGGCCGGTACTGATTGGCTGCGATCGGCACAGGGTGGGCACTGGCTGATGGGGGACGCTCGGCGCAGGGCGGGCACTGGCTTGTCGGGGGCGGGGCGGGGCGGGGCGCGGCGGGCGCTGATTGGCTGCGGCCGCCGACGCGGTGTTCCGGCCCCCGACGCCGGTGTTGCGGTTCTGCGCCCGGGCAGTGCTGCCCGGCGGGTCATGGTGCTCGGCCGCGGGCCGCTCTGCTGCCGGAGACTCGCGGCGCTGGGACTGTCCTGCGCGCGCCGCGGCCTGGGTAGGTGCGCCGGGCGCGGACGGGCGCGGACGGGCGCGGCTCAGCGCCGACGGGCAGGGCGTCGGTTGGGCGCGCCGGCGTCGTCCCTCGGCTCAGGTGCCTGGACGCCCGCGGGCCGGCCGGGAGGGCAGCGCCGACGCGGGGCCGCGGGCGGAGGGGCGGGAGGGCGGCGGCGGCCAGCCAGGCTCTCCATCTCGGACCCTCCGCCCCGTCCAGCCCCAGCTAACGTGGCCGCGGCCGGCTCCCAGTGCGTCGGGGCTCCCGCCCGGCCGAGGGCCGGGTCGGGCCGGGGACGAACGGGGCCTCCTCGCCGCTCCCTGTCCCGCCAGCCCGTGGCCGCCCCGGGCTGCGCGGACGGGGCAGCGGGCGAGTCCCCTCCTCGGGGCCCTCCGCCCTCCCGGGCACGGGGGGCGGTCACCGGAGGGGTCACCGCGGCGAGGAAGCGGCGTTTCTAGGAAATACACGTTAAGTCGGTGCTGGGACTCGAACTTGGGCTTCAGGGGCGCCAGGCGGGGGCTCCGCGGGCTGGAGCCGGTGCTGGGCCCCGGAAGCGCCCCGTTTATGCCTCGGTGTGCACCTGTGAGCCCGGCGGCCGGTTGCGATGGGGTCTCGTGGACGTTATTTACGTTGTCTGGTCTCCAGCCTCGGTCCTCCCAGGGGTGCCTGGCGTCCAAGGACACTTCATGAAGGGCCCCCCCCCCAGGTCCTTCATCACCCGCGGGTGCGGGGGGCCAGAGGGGATGCAGAGTATGGCAGAAACTCCATTCCACCAAGAGGTTTTGTTGAGCATTAGAAGGATCTGGAAAACCCAGGACAGGAGATGTGTTGAAAAAGAGACCTGGGAACTCAGGTGGTAAGGTTTGTGTAGCCTGCTTCCAGGCCCTGGGTTCGAGCTGCCCCTGCAGTCTGCACCCGTGCAGTGCAGGGTTTTGCTGGCTAGGGCGGATGAAGGTGGGCCCGAGGCATTTCTCCTGTCCCCTGCGAGGTCGTCTACCCCTTGGACAGGAACACTGACCTGTGCTGTTGGGGCCTCAAGCATTTTAGATGGAATCATCTCGTGGCTCTGAGTACCCTGGTGTCTGTGCACTGGTGCTCACCGCCGGTGGGCTCTGGGGAGGCCTGGGGCTCACCGCTGGCCTGCGCAGCCTGCAGGGGCTGCGAGGTGCGCGGTATCCACTCTCGGATGTCTGTCATTCAGTAGCAAATGCCGTTTTGTCAGAGGCGTTGTGAAACAGGCCGGGCACAGAGACTGCCCACTACCCGCCGCACCGCGGGGCAGGCAGGCCGGCCCCCACCCCCGGCCAGCAGGTCTGTCCTCCAGAGCCTTGAGAGGAAAGCATCCTCATTCTGAGCTGGGAGCGTGGCTCTGCTGAAACACACACCGACTCACGCAAAGCCCCCGGCTCTGCCTCCAGCTCAGGGAGACGAGAACCCACCTCTGAGACGGTGCCGGCTTGAGTCGTTTGCGGCACTGTTCTCATGGATGTGGTTCTTCTGTCGGAGGAAATTAGGAAAACCGGAGCGCCGAGCCTCAGTGTGCACGGGGAGCTGGTCTGAGGTCTGCGACCTGAGGCTGCACCCCGCGCCCTCAGGCCCGGCCCTGCTGGGAGTCTTCTGCTATCACTCGGATTTGAGGAAGAGTCTGACTGTGGAGCAGGGCGCCATGAAGGTGGAGCTGCTGCCCGCCCTGACCGACAACTACATGTACCTGCTCATCGACGAGGCCACGCGGGAGGCTGCCATTGTGGACCCCGTCCAGCCCCAGAAGGTACGTGGCTCTCTGCATGGCGCCTGAGCCCCAACACCCTACCCACCCTCATCCCTGGGACGCAGCACCGTGACCCCACAGCTTGGCAGAAGCCCGGGGGGATCAGTCCTTTTGACTTGGGAAGAACTCAGCATCTAGCACCCCGAGAAGTGTAGGGAGGGCGGGGCCACCAGGCTCCCAAGGCGGCACCGCGCACGCGCCATGTTAGCCTTGCAGTGTGGAGGCCGTGGAGCCTGGCTCTCCAGTGCTTTCGTCTCTCAGCACTGCCTGTGTGCGTGTATGCGTGTGTAAGAGAGAGAGTGGGGAGAGGGGGAGGGAGAGACAGACAGACAGACAAACCTTGGAGCACAGAATGGCTTGGAGAGGTCTGAGGGGAGCTGAGGGCTGCCCCCG